GCTGACCAGAGCGCTCTAAATTTCAAATAAATAAATTTCCAAAATCGAGTCCTTGCAGTAAAACATCCAGCTTTGCTGTTGCATTCATACGTTTTGCGCCAAAGTCAAAGTAGTTAGATCGTTAGCAGCATGAATGGTTGCTGCGTTGCAGTTTAACACGTGGACCTATGTCCTCTTACATGCAGAGAGAAAAAAGCGTTGGCTGGTACGGTAGTACTGTATCGTGAAGCCATGTGAAACAATTTTGCGTGAAAAGAAGTGCGCGGTTCGGTGATCATACGTTTACTGAAAATGCGAATTTGACAACGAACAAGATGTCGAGAGAGAATGATGACGAAATCCGCAAAATATATTCGCTTTTGAAGTTGCGATAAAATTGAGTTTTTGTCATATCCATATGTAAGGAATTTAGCTCGCGAATTGAATTTAGACACAAGTGCCCTTGCAAAGTTTCAGCTTCGCAGCTTTTCTGGTAAGCGAAATAGCCACTTCGTTACAAATGCTTTTCGCACGTCCTACTGCACAGTGCAAGCATAAATCGAAGTCCGATTTAGGTATACGGTTTTCCAACTGGACAAAAAATATTCTGGCAAAATTGCAGTTATTTTTCCCGTTAGTTTTCGAGTTTGCGCGACACCAACTTACGAACTGCGCTCCCTTTGTGCAGGAACTGTTCATAAAATTCTTTTCAGAAATTTTTTATTTTGGATGCAAAACATCGGGAGGGCCCTGATCTGTAACCGAGATCTGTGTTAAGGGGGAACCAGACCCCCCGTCAATTGCTTGGAAGGCAACCATGCTGACCATTACACCGCTGACGCCGCCGGTAGTCAAGCTTTTGTTTTCGGTTTCTAACAAACAACTATTTTTCAAAATCACTCGAAAATGGGTATTATCAAAATTTGAAACACTTTCCGGGCCGATGCGTCTTAATTTCATTTTTAGGTCAATTCTTGTGACTCAAACCGCATACAAGTACCCCTCTCGTTGTTCTTCAAAAATGAGGAGGTGTAGAGTTCTAGCTGAAAAAACGAGGGAGCTGATTTATGGTGCTCCTCTGATTGAGATAACGAATTAGAACTACCGCTTTCATTACTGTTTGCTAGCGAGACTCAGTCTCGTCTGCCATGTTGCCCTTATTGCGCCTTTTACCTCCTCATCTGCCCCTCACCTTCCAATCCTCCTTATTCATTCCTCGTCTCTTGACTCGTCCCCTCTGTTCCGTATTTCCCGGCTTTCTTCCCTGGTTTTCCCCCACACCGGCTTGTCATTGCAATTGAAATATACATTTCCACACAGTTAACGCGAAATGTGGGCTGCAACGCGATGGTCTTATAATATGTCTAAAAAAACAGGCGAACCGATGCAGAAGTTCAAGTGCTGCTGCTGCTACTAGCTCACCGCTAGCTCCCCCTGTGCATCACCCAAAACTTGTTTGATTTACTCTCTGTTCCATTCTTGAAATTCAGATCGAGAGAAGAGAAGGGCAGGATCATTGTTAACTTTAGCTTTAACGCTGTCGTCGTCATCATCATCATCACCAGCGTCCCCTTCATCGTTGTCGTCATCATCATCCCAACTAGTATTCCTCAAGCATCAGTGGTCTGGATTCATATGTGCTTCGGCTAGACACTTTCTTTGTGTAAAAAAACAAAAAACGCAGGCAACTATAACGTATTCTCGGGATCGGATCGCTGCACAGGTTGCCATCGTTATCAACGTCCTCTTCTTCGTCAGCGCCGTCGTTAATATTTAAAGGCGCGGTGAATCATAGAACTGGACTGAATTACGCCAGCTATTTGTAAGCTTATTGCAGCTCCAGTACATATCCCTAGCTGCAGTGTCAGTGCCAGGTGCTTCATCGGAGCGATCTAATACTAATTAGTGGATATGGCTGATCCTGCTGCTGATTCCGCTGCGGCTGATGCTGCTGCTGATGCTGCTGCAACTACACCAGCTCCTTGTTAGTTATATGAATTTCCGGATAACTTACCGAAACATTTCTTATCATTATAATAGTTTTATTAAAATAATTTCTCTAATTTTACTAATTTATTTCCCATCTTCCTCTTCGATTCTTTTTATCTCAACCGTTGTTAATATACCTTTCTATTTCATAGTTTTCCAAGATAACTAAAGAATAACCAGTCCTTCTGCGGATCATTCATTTGTTACGATGATAAATTGGTGCCGACGCATGCCAGGAGGTCAAACCCGCCATCAGCTTGTAAGTAACGCTCAAATGAGGAAGTCATTGAGAACCTTGCCAGCAGCGTGTATGCTACTGCCACTTACTGTCCTCGGAACTGACTAAAGTCGCAAGAGCAATCGGTATGGATATCCCATTTTAGTGATGTTACCGGGGCGCCAAGCCCTTCGCTCTTGATTTATGAATATATTTTTTCTAAGACATTTCGAATGATCTCTTCTTTTGACTCGTTTGACTGAGTGTAAAGAATCGCGTGTTCTTGGTCGCATTTACTGCCTAATGGAGAAAAATAAAGCACCGACAGTCGCTAGTATTCCTAGCACAGTCAAAATAGGTCGGTAACTTGTAGAGACTTTTGATATGATCCACAAATCAGAATGTTGGTGAGCAACTGACAACTTTTCAATTGCTTTGACCGGTGCTGCATCGTCTGGTGGTCAGTCTACTGCCGCTGTTTTGACGCTTGTTTTGTTTCCTGAAGGGATTGCGAGTTCAGTCGGCAGTCCTGGAAGTAAAGTTGAGCCGGCAGCCTTTTCAACTCAACCACTTACGATATGTTAAATTTCAGTGATCCAGGGTGCAGCGGGGCTGAAAATTGCCCATGTGGAAGCCCCGGCTGTTGAGGAAAATGAACGACGAACACGGAGCGGCAAATTTACCCTCAGACAGCTACGCCAGACGGACGGCCTCGTGCCGCTACAGTCTGGTACCAATCAATTTGACTCACAAAAAGTTGGCCCTACTTGTTTTTTTTTTTATAAATTTCTTTGGACACTTGAATTGGCATGCGTTTCTCGGGTGTTTCTACACTTCGACGTAGCTGCACCGGGTTCTTTGATCACTGGGCTGCATTCAGTGTATGTGAACCGTCTTTTATTCCAAAAAAAGAAAGCATGCTACCTAACAGGCGAACAAAACGAGATACCTTCACTATTTTTCTTTTTGGCTTAGTAATTCTGACCAATATCCTGCATGTCTTCCGTCTTATTTTTAAAATAATCGCAGTTGTTGATAGATTTCTCCAATGCACTGCTGTTTCATCGATGTGTTCTTTCTCGCCGCTGGCGCAACTGGCAGTTTCTCCGTTCTTCTGTGTTTCGGGCCTCTCTCACCCACATAATTCCAGGTAGCCGTTCAACGAAAAGCCAAAAAAAAAAACGTTTTATTGGGCGATTTGTTTTATGAGAATTGATTTCTGAGCAAAGCGTTCAAGTCCACTGTTTATCCGGAGCAAATGATGACACCAGCTCACACACACATCGAAACAGCTGACGAGCAGCTGCCACCAGAAAGATTTGAAATTTCCTGCTGCCTTCGGGCATCGTGATTCAGGCACATGTGCCGCAGTCTCTTGACCTCAGCCACTAGACCAACTTGCTTTTCATTAAATCCCTTCATGCCATTACTTTCGCTTATCTGCTGATTGCTGGGTACGAAGATTTGCTACGCAATGGAAACAGTTGCTGACAAGGAGGTCCTTTTCTGTCTCGTTGTAGCTTTCCTCAAAAATTTGCATATTCATGATGAAACATGCTCTTTCCTGGCTGTTTTTGCTGCGTTGCAAGGCAGTTTTTTTTTCGCGAATTTTTAACTGTGGTCATCAGACACATGTTTTGACCAGCTGCACTTCACGGCTAGCTCTCTAGCTATGCAGCTTGCATTTTTTTCGAGTTTCTTTGATCAACACGGCATCACCTGGTGGCCAGCCCCTCACTGGCGATCTTAATGTGCGTTTCTTCGCTTCAGAAAGAAATAGCAGTGCGCAAGAGCTTCATGGCGTATTTGTGCGATAGATGTCCATTTGGGAAGTAGAACGACAAAGCGGGAGTCCGTTTTAGTTTCCTTTCGATAGATGCAGCGCATGACAAGCAAGAATTTCCGGGCTCTTGATCGATTTCATTCCAAAATCTCATCAATAGCTTGGCCGACCCTTAAAATATTGAAGAAAAATGTATGATTTTGCCTTTAAATAATAAAAATATTTTGA